TCTTTCCCTTTACTTTCGCTCTCCTCCTCTCTTTCTCTCTCTCTCTCTCTCTCTACCTCGAGTTTCGTTCAACCTTCCCTCTCGCGAGTCCTCTGGCTCCCTCCACCGAGTCGGAGTTTCTCTTTCCACGTCGATCCTCGTCGCTCGTCCTCGTTTCGCTACCGCGTTTTCCTCTCTCCCTCTCCGTTCAGCGTGCTTCTTCTCCCTTGAACCTGTGCACTCGCGGCACACACCGCACGGGTACACGCTATCGCGCCGGTTAGAGAGCGGTAAATTTCTTATGGGGTATTATGGCGCACGGTGCATACCAACCGGGATTCATACCGGCGCAACACGCGGACAACCCTCTCTCCTCCGTCTTCTCCAGCTTGGGAACTGGTTCTAAGTTATACCTAGTCCTGTAGGGACATCCGCGTGCTTCCTGCCCGTGAAACGGGCCCCGCGCCGTGTTTTCGTCGACGTGTCCCGATGGGCGGGACATATCCGGGTTGCCTCGTAGGCTGTTACCCTTTGCTTCCATTTCGATACCTTCGATCCTTCTCGAACGGGTCGCAGCCTCTCCGGCTGATCTCGCCAAGCTCTCGTTGCCCGGCTTTGCATCCTGGATCTGTAAATTAACAGAGTCGTTCGTAAAATCCGATCCTAAGAACGGTAGTTAAAGCCGAGTTATAGGGTGTAAAACCGCGTATGGACGGTAAGTGGCAGCAGGCCGGACAGATTTTACGCGTTCCCTTTCGGAGGGTGTGGGGCTACGGATGTACGATCTGTAACATTGAATAGTCGAGTATTTTACTGCCTATTTTACTATCCCGAGTAACCGGAGTAACCGCGATTATATCCGCGAAGAAGCGGATATCGAGCGTTCGCGATCGGCGACGAGAATAACGCGCGAATTAAAGCTCTGGCGAGCGCGAGAGGGGAAGAGAGAAAGAGAGAGAGCAGCGGTTCACCGCTGGCCCAGAAGGCTGTTCCCGATGGCGAAACGAAAACGAGACGCGTGCCCCCCTCCGTTGGCCAGGAGCGCGAGACGTCATCGACAGCCGGTGGAAGGATAGGACGGGTCGTTCCATAGGCACACACCCGGTATATGGGTATCCTGTGCGTGCCGTAAGGGGTGGTCAGGTTGTGAATCGGGGCACGGTAGAGGAACCGAGACAGACACCCCGAAACCTTCATTACCTTCGGCTTCAAAGGAGCCCATTGTGCCGTAAATGGGGTTCGCTCTGCGCTCCTCTTTCCTTCTTTTTTTTTTCTTTCTTTCTTCCTTCCTTTCTTCCTTTCTTTCTTTCTTTCTTTCTTTCTTTCTTTCCCTTCTTTCCTCCGCTGTGTTCCTGCGCGTACCCCGGATCCGTTCCATTCTTCGAGCCGTTTGCCTTTCCGAGAGGCCGTCGACAGAAAGGGATGGGACGCTGGACTGCCAGGGGATGCGACAGAGACAGAGAGAGAGAGAGAGAGAGAGGGGGGGAGAGACACTTGCTCGTTCGTTCCTTCGTTTACGTAAATTCTCGAGTAATTTCGGGAGCCGAATGAAAGGTGGAACGAGGGCGGACGGAGGGGTACGCGGGGCGGGCGGCGGGAGGGGGCCACGTAGCGATGGTATAATGTCGCCTCGTGCGGAACCTCCCCTCGCGCGATCGAGGGGGAGGAGAAAGGAGGCAGAGAGGGGTAGAGGGGACAACGGGCCGTTTAAGAAGTCTTTGAATCGAGAACTCGTTTCGAGCGGAGGGCCCGCGGCTCTCTGTTCCTCGACGACACGCTTCTTCTCCCCGTCGTTCTCCCCCTCCCCCGTGCCATCGGCGGTCACCGCGGACTGGTTGAACTCTCTCGAACGGGAAGACCGCGGGGAATCTACCTGGACGCGAAGACGTTACGAGAAGAGAATTTTCTTTCCCGGCAAAAGAAAGACGGATGAGCGGAAAAATCGTAGGTACCATCGGGAGACCGTGAATCGCGCCGAGAGTCTCGGGTGCGCGCAGGGACCGCGGGATCGGTAAAATGGCGGGAAAGTCGGTGGGCCGAAACGGGTGAAACGCCGTGGACGATTGGAGCGGCTCGCGAGCCGAGAACCGACACCCCCGTCCGCGCGGAGCTTGTTAAATCGGCCATAAAATGGGAATAATCTCGAGTTACAGGCGACGCTGTCGCCGTGGCGAGTATCGTGCTCGGTCATCGCGAGCCAGCCTCGATTCTTCGTCTTCTTCTGTGGCGCTTGCACGCGGAGAGGAGAGCCACCTTCCGGTAATGGCGTTGCCTCCGGTGTCGCATGTACCTTACGGAGGAACACGAGAAGCGTTCGCGGGGACGCGATGAAAGCGATACCCCTCGCTGCTCGCGAGCACACGTTCTCTCTCCTTTCTCTCTTTCTCCTTCTCTTCGCGGCTTTTATTTCGACCCCCGAGTGCTTGGAGAAAATTTACGCCCGCGGTTCATCGCGGAAATTAAATACCGTCGCGCTTCGCCGGGTAATTCCGTCGATAGGGCGACGAGCCCACGAGGGAGCTTTCTCTGGGCCTGAAGGAGCCGTGGAAGGTTGACGGAGGAAACGGCGATTCCTTTGAGACACTCGATATTTTCCGTGCCCTTCCTTCGCAGCCGCGAACCGTTCGTCGTATCAGAAAATCCGAGAACCTCTGGTCCCCGCTTCGATGAATTAGATACCAAAGAAGTGCTGCGCGCCACCTAGCGTATCCTTGCTTCTAGGACAGGGGGATACTGTGTCAACCGTGCGAACGGTGAAAGGATACGATACGCGCGAAATGGCGGAGGAACGCGATTCGCGCGCCACCAATCGCCCCGCGATTTTTCCTCTTCCCCCGAATTTTACCGCGTTTCGGGGAACCCGGTCTCCCCTACGCCTACCGGTCTATCACTGGCCTCGTTCGCTTCGTCTTCTCGCGTATCGGGGTTACGAGTTCCTCCGCGTATCGCGTGTCTTCCACACGACATTCGAGGAACCCGCGGACGAGAAAGAGAGACGCCTTTTGAGGAATTCGAAGCAGAAGCGGGCGACGCGTTTCTAGCAAAAGTCGAGAACGGTCCGTGTCAGCCGAAGAGACCCGTTGGATCCCGTGTCAGCCCTGGTCGGGGATGATCGTCTGCGGTGTAGGATGACGCGATTCAAAGGGCCGATAGATGGCAAAAACTCGCGTCCGCGATGCATCGTATCGTGTTCTAGATCATGAGCCGAATACTGGAGAGGTTCCGGCGAACGAGAGCCCATCGATATCGGCTTTGCAGAGCCGCTCACGCGAATCGATATGAACTATCCGCGCATGATCTCACGGCCGGAAGTTAGAACGGTTTAAAAGCGGTTATAGCGGCGGGAGATTCGAGTTTCACGCGATGCCAAGTTCGAAAAACGATTTTTGCCGGTGATGGGACCGGGGTGTGCTCCGAGTGCGTGTACGGCCGGTAAAAAATGGCTCGATAACCGTGTTCCCGTGCGCGCACGTACACAGGCAAGGTGTACCGTGTAGGTGAACGCTTCTCAGCGAGAGCGGGCTCCTTTCGGCGGTCCTTTCCGCAGGAGAGACAGAGGCGAAGAGAGAAGAGAGAGAAGGAGGGAGATAGAGAGGTGGAGAGAGAAAGAGAGAGGGCAAGACGGACCCCCGTTTCTTTTCTTCGGTGAGCATTGTCGGCCGGTTCGACTCGACTCCCGGCGGATCAAATTCTAACCAGTCCGGCATTATAGCTGCTGTCCTTCGAGCTCTCTCCGCCGCCCCCTCTCGCCGCCCTTTTGGTCCCGCGTTAAAGAGAGTCTAGTCATCTCGAGGAGGCATTGTGTTACCGCGTTCCGTGGCACGGTTGGTACTTCGGAGAAAATTCTGGAGAACCCGCGCGCACCGGTATGAGAACCGACGAGCTGACCCAGTCGCGCGCGCGCGCGAGCGGTCTTTGTCGGTTCGGCGCGATCTGCATCGTCGCGCGATTTTCCCATGGCGCGGGGTGGTGGAACGCGGGGTGTAACGGAACGAAGTAACGAGAGGACCAAGAGGAGAAGACGCGACGCGGCGCGGCGCGGAGGTATCGTTATACGGAATAGGGACGCGTTAGGGACGGAGTTAGGGGCACCGCGCTGTGGTCTCTGTCGAAAGAGAAGCGAGTGCGTGTCCGGTGGATCGGTTTCGCGTCCGATCGAGCGTCCTCTGGCATACGCTTAACGCATGATAAACGCGTGCATTGTCTACGGTGGTCGGTGTCGGCCGCGGCCTTCCACCATTGGACGGTGCCGCCTACGGCAAAGATGGCCGTCTTCTCTATTACATATAAATGCCTAATAAGAAGAACGTCGTATAAGTATCTTCTACTAGGTGGATAGGTTGCCGAGAGGCAGCCAGACCAGGCAGTGCCTGCTGTAGAAGCGCGAGTAAGAAGGGAAGCGTGTGTAGGGAAGAGATGAGAAGAGAAGAGAAGAGAGGCCAGGCCAGGAAGAAAGCGCGTGTACGCGCTTGCAACGAGAGAAGACACGCCGCCTCGTAATGCGCCTGGCTTCTCTTCGTTTCTCCTCCCCGTCGATTTACATATAACAAGATAAGCGTTTTTATTTGCTTTTGCTTATATAATACATTTTTTCTAAACCGAATCGAGCGAGCAGGCCGAAGCGAGTCGGTGCAGGGACCGGCGGGGGGCAGGGCAAGGGGAACGGGAGGAGGATGAACCGTGAGGAGGACGCTGGAGGACCGGGTATCCTATAGGCCTGTCAGACCTCATTTGCATACATAACATTCTGGTCGACTGGACACCGGTCAGACCTCCTCGCTCCCTCTCGCTCCGACTCGCTATCGACGATGCAGCCGTTCTCGTTGCTCGCTGCCGGACCGCTTCCACGGCCTCGAGATGCAACGAGCTCCTCACCGGCCTCCTCCATCTTTGTGTATCGATACCAGCGTTCGTATCGGCCTCGCCATCCCGCGCGGCCCTTTTGGTACCGTGGCTTCGAGGTGAAAATACCGGGTGAACGTTTTACCCGGGGACCGACGACCGTCGTCCGTTGCTTCGCGAATCGGCTTTCCATTCCCCACCGATTCGAAATCCTCGCACGTCCACGCGTTCCATCCACTCTCGTGGCCGTCGTTATTCGAATATTAAAATTAGGAAGGTCGTTATCGGGGAGACGAGGCGAAGAAGGAAAGCGAAAGTCTTCGTTTAAATAACTCGTCTCCGGCGACGAGACGACGACCGTGCGCTAGAATAAGCTAGAATAAGCTAGAATAAGCTAGAACAAAAGAACGTCGACTGGCTAATAAATCCGACGACTAATGCAATTTCTTCTTCTCTTTGCGTGATTACAGGTGCACGAACTGTGCGACAACTTCTGCCACCGGTACATCAGCTGCTTGAAAGGCAAAATGCCGATCGACCTAGTGATCGACGACAGGGAGAGCTCGAAACCGCCCGAGATCGGGAACGGTTTGGACGGTGGCGGACCTAGGAGCACCGCCGACAGCACCAGCCACACGGACGGAGCCAGCACGCCGGACGTCGTGAGTACCTCACCATCGTCAACGTCTTACTATCCGCACGACGCGATCACCCCCCACCATCACCACCACCACCATCACCACCATCACCACCAGAGCCAGAATAATAATAACAATAATAATAATCACGCCGGTATCGGCAGTACCGCCACTACCACCCCCTTGCAACTGAGCCAAAACCAAAGCCAAAACCACCACCCTGCGCCGCAGTCGAACACCACCACTACTACTGCTATTACCCCAAGTAGCGCCGCCACAACTCCCAACTCCCTAAAGCGTACGCACCAACAGATGATGATGGCAGCCGCGGCGGCATCCGCGATGGCCACCTCGCCGCACGCAGCCGCATCCGCGCCCCCTGCGCACGCGCACGCCGCCCTCGCCGCCTACCACAGCATCAGCTCGGCCGTTTATCCGTGCTCGTAATAGACGACGCGACTTCCGTGCCGATACCGCGAGACCTTTTCTCTTCTTATCCCCCTCTTACCCTCTTCTATCGAGTCTTTTTCCATCTCTATTACCATTGCTCGTTCTTCTTCTTCTTCTTCTTCTTTTGCTTCTCTTTCTTCTTACTCTTCCGCTACTTCTTGCGATCCTTCTCCCAACCCGTACGCTGTCCAGCGTATCTTGGTCGTTTAGCAGACGCGCACCGACCTGCTACTACTTTCTTCCCCTCGATGGCGCGTGGGTAGTCTTTCTTCGAGGTATCGTCCTTCCTCTTCGTACGTTTCCAAAGGAAGTCGAGGGTTCCCGGAGTGTCGTGCCATTCCATCGCGTCTCCGCCTTCTGAAACGAGGGATTTTGGTGAGATCGCGGGTGACCCGTGCGTCGCGATGGTTCGATCGCGACTGACCGTAGCGGCAACCACCGCGGACGCGCACGGCGCCCTCTTGATTCGTCCTCGTGGCTCGAGGTCACGTGTGTACACGTCCGGGCATAAGTGCCATCCGAATGAACCGCGAGCCACTCGAAGAAAGACGTGTACCCAGGCACGTAACACGGACGCGCGAATCAGCTTCTACCAAGTCTCGTTCTTTCCTCTTTGTCTTTCTCTTCTTCTGCTTCTTCTCTTTTTATTATTTTTTTTTTTTTTTTCATACTTCTTTCGCTTCTCTTTCTTCTTATTCTTCGACCAAATCTTCGACCAAGTTTCGACGATCGATCGTGTTCTCGGGGGTTGCAGGGGTTGCAATCACGAAACGTGGGGTCACGGTATAATGCACGAGATAGGCCGCGAATTGTTGGACTGGCGCTACTTGTCGGAATTTCCAGTACGTTGCTAGCGAGTGTCTCGTACTGCTCCGAGCAAAGGACGAGTGTTACTCTGTTTGGCACTTGGCTGGCTTTTGAGTTCATTCACGTTCCGTATCTCTGTTTTTCTTTCTCTTACTTCCGTTCTCTTCCACTCTCTCACTACTTTTCTCTTTCTCTCTCTACCTTTCTCTCTGTCTCTCTCTCTCTCTCTTTGTCTCTCTGTCTCTTTCTCTGTCTATCTGTCTCTGTTAAGTGTTGCTCAAGCCGTAGAGAACCGTTCAGCTCGCATCTCGTCTGTACATAATTATACACACGATCTCAGACTTTACATTCTCCGAATTCTTCCTCGAGGACTAGCCCGTTCGTTTCGGCTCGCGAACGAACGTACGCTATTGGATCCCCAGGACGTGTTCCGGCTCTCTACCTCCTTCTGTCCAGAGGAGAGGCAGACTGCCGTCGAGATCGAATTATCAGAGAACCTTTCTCGCGGATGGATCCGTTCTACTCGGAAGTGCCGTGTGCTCGGCAAAGTTCGCTCGCACGGTCCATTACGTAAGATCGCGGCGTGCTGCTAGCGAGGAAGAACGCTTCTAAATTCGTCCCGAGCCAGACACCACCAGCCGTCCGATGACATCGATTTTCGGCTAGTGTTCCGCTTTCAAAACACGTCCGGAGGTGTCCTCGCCCCTCCGAGACCGCCTTTTCGTGGTCCAACCAGTCACGATGAGCTATTATAGCTGAACGGGAACCTTATGCAATCGATTCTGCGTTTCGTCTTCGTCGTTCTGGGTCGCTTCTGCTTCTTCCACTTTGTCTTCTTCTTCTTCTTCTACTACTACCACCACTACTACTACTGCTACTACTACTACTACTACTACTACTACTACTACTACTACTACTACTATTACTACTGTTACCGTATCTTCCTCTGTTGGTCTCTCTATCGAACGTCGTGGTGTAGCACGTGGTTCGCGCGCCACGTGCTACATGGAACCAGCACGCGTTCGCTGTCTACTCTCACTCTTTCTCTCTCTCTCTCTCTCTCTCTCTCTCTCTCTATATCTATCTTTCACTCTGTACCCCTTTTTCCTCCTGTTCTCCAAAGAAAGGTCTCTCGCGGTGCGGCACAGTGCACGGAATTTCGTGGACAAACACGGGCATTATAGCGAAGAAACGGCCGCGTAGGGCGACACGGTGTGCCGGAGAAGGTGAGGAACACGCGTTCGAGGGGCCTCGCGAACGAGACAGACGAGAGTCGTGTTTGTAGGTAGGGATCGTTTAGGCAGGTCGTTTCTTAGGTTTCGCGCGATTCGTCGCCGCTCGAATGGTTTCGTTTTACTCGCTGGATTTATGCTCTCGAATAGGGTCAGCATTTTAGAGATCGACGCCCAGGCAGAGTTCCACACTTCGACCTATCGATTCTTTCTCTATTTCGTTCGTTTTAGGATATCTTTCGACGACTGAGAATTTCTGCAGCAGAGCGGAGCAGCGGATCGCGCGTCTCTCGAAACACGCGGATCTCCAACCCCTATATTCTTCTCGTTCTACTTGGTCTTTTTCCGTTTCTTTCCCCTCGTTTCTTCCCCGTTCCGATTCTCTCTCTCGAGGCCGGGAACGCGCGCTCGGCATCGCGGATCGCACCGACCGATAGTATCGCGAGCGGTAGGCGTGTTTACGACAGGCGTTGCATCGTCTACGCCGCGTCTGCCTTTCGGATTGACCTACTCGCGGGTACCACGGCGGACCGCGTGTCGCGATCGGGGGTAAGAGGGAAACGAAGTGTGCGGAGGAAAGACGAAAAATCGGGTGCCGAAGATCGAGAAAGAACGGAGAGAAAATTCAGAGAGAGAGAGAGAGAGAGAGAGAGAGAGAG